GAGACAGGGTCTCGCTCTGTCGCCCAGGCTGGAGGGCAGTGATGCGATCTCGGCTCACTGCAGCAATCTGGGCTCAGGGGATCCTCCCCAAATGGCCTCCCAAAGAGCTGGGGTTACAGGTGTGAGCCGCCATGTCCAGGCTTGATTTTGTCTTTAGGCCTTTAAGTGCTGGGGTTACAGGTGTGAGCCGCCATGTCCAGGCTTGATTTTGTCTTTAGGCCTTTAAGTGCTGGGGTTACAGGTGTGAGCCGCCATGTCCAGGCTTGATGATTTTATCTTTAAGCCTTTAAGTATCTGGCAACAACAGAAGCAACAGGAAAAATCATCCCAAGGCTGGTCCTCACCACTCACACCTGCGTGCCCTGGTCCCGGCCACAGCAGCCTTTCGCGTGGGCTCCCGTGGACACACCTGGCCGTCCTGCTCCCATGCTGACCCCACAACCTGCTCTTCACCTGGTAGCCAGACTGATCACACAAAGCTCCCATGGCTCTCAGCTCTCGGGGCGACCGGCCCGGCCCGGGCTCGCTGCGTCACGGCCTCTGGCCTCTCCCGGCGTCCTCTCCGGTCGCCCACGACTGCCCCCCATCCCGGGCTCTTTGCTCCAACGCCTGGGCCTCTGGGCCATGCCTGGCGCACACGGGCACACGGGCACCCCAGCCTTTGAGACCCATCTTCCACTCGTGCCCCCGAGTGGCCGCTGCCGGGGTCTTCCTCCCGCAGCAGAACGTTAGTTCACTGTTAGACCTGCCTTGTATGTTTAATGAAACTAAATGTAAAATGCAAACGTGCTGAATCTTAAGTTCTCAAACATTCTGATCTCACTAGGTGAGACCACTTGCCCAGGCTCGTCTTGAACTCCTGGGCTCAGGTGACCCTCCCACGTTGGCCACATTCTGATTCCTTTTTTCTGAGACGAAGTCTCGCTCTGTCACCCAGGCTGGAGGGCAGTGCCATGCTCTCAGCTCACTGCAAACTCCGTCTCCCAGATGGTCTCGATCTCCCGACCTTGTGGTCAGCCCGCCCCGGCCTCCCAAAGTGATGGGATTATAGCCACCGCGCCCGGCCTCTTTCCGATTTCTTAATAAACTCAGTAACATCCTCTGGTCTTTTTCCTTAAATAATAAACCTAAATGTTTTATTGAGTTTGCATTTGAATCTAGAATCTTAAGGCTCATCTGATAAAACACTCCCAAGTGTAAAAATTATGGGTCTGATTTTTTTACAGTTTTAATTAGGTGTGACTGACACACAGCAAGTTGCATCTAATTAATGTGCGATTTAATGAGCTGCCTATGTCAAACGGGGCTTTTCCTGCTTCGTCACATGTCTTTGTAATCCTCACCCACGGAGGGTCACGTCAAAGCTTCCTGCCTTCCTACAGAGCCAGAGTGATCTCAGGTGGGTGAGCGCCCGTCAGGGTCGGAGGCCTGGGCCAGGTGCAGGGCTGACTTGGGGCCCTGGACTCCTAGGGAGGCTTGAGCCTTGCTCAGGTTGGCTGTTGTTGGGATCCAGTGTCACAGAGGCCAGAGGCCAGGGCTCATCCATCGAAGGAGCCCACCAGCCTGCGGCCCACTTCTTTGCTCTCATTCACATCCAGGCCCTTCCCCGCCTTCCCATCTGGTCAGTGACCCCTCCTCAGCCACCGCCCGGGATGACTTATGGCTCCTGGTCACACAGAAGCTTTCGTCACAGCTCCAAGGTCACTGTGACGACAGGGCTGGACCTCCGCCTGGTTCCATCGGGAAGGACGGGCTGGGTACCCACACAGGCACACCATGGCACTCCGAGAAGGCCGAGCTCAGCCTGCCATGCCCTGCGGCCAGCGGAGGGTGACCCGGCAGTGTGTCATGGGACTGACCACCTTTCCTAAGAAACATGGATTGCTGGAGTTCAAGGCTGGGCGGATGACAGGCAGCCCCTCCCCTCCAGACCCATGAGGAGGAGCCTCACCCTGTCTCTCCAGCTGGGACCAGGAAGCCGAGCTGCCACCACCTGACCTGGGCCACAAGTCTCAGTCCTGGATCCCATCTTCCCAGGCCGGAGCCTCCCCACCCACGTGGCAGGCGTGTCCCCTCCCAGCTGCAGCCCCCTGTAAGGGCTCCCTGGGAGAGCAGGACCCTGGACAGGGCAGAGGGCCCCACTCCACACAGTGGGCCCAGTGGGACACTCAGAACCGCCTGGTGTCTGGTGGGCTTGGCCCTAGGGAGGGTGTCTGCAGGTTAGAAGCATGCCTTTGGCTGCGCCAGGGAGGACAGAGTGGGGGGGGAGGCCAATGACCCAGGAGGGCTATTCCAGCCAGGGGGGAGGCAGCCAGCTGGGGAGGGCTTGGGGGTGGATGGAGCCTGGTGCGCTGGACAAGAGCGAGGCCCCCTCTTAGACCCACAGGACCTGGCAGAGGACACAGAAGCTGCACACCTGTGAGAAGCAGGTCCCAGAAGCCCCAAGCTGGATACCTGACATCACACAGCGGAGGGCAGGGGCCTCCTGTGCTGGACCACACCCCCCCACTGCCTGGTGCAGTCACCTGGTGGGAGGCCCACCCACTGGATACACAGGCCCAGCTGTCCTGGGGGAACTGCTGCAGGGAGCTAGGGCTTGGCCGAACCAGGCTCCCTAGTGTTCCTGCCACTAAATGACGCTTCCATCCCTGCCCTCCCAGAGCCAGTAGGCGGAAAACCTGGGGCGTTTGCTTGTCAGGCAGCCCTGCCCCTGCAGGGGGAGGGCAGAGGCTGGCTGCGGAGGGGAGGAGGGATCACTGGCTCCCCTGCAATCCGGCTGCCATGACCTGCTTTGGCCAATGGAATGTGTGAAAATTTCATTGTATGCATTCTGGACCCCAGCTTCCACCTCACCCTCCTGGAAGGCTGGCCTTGCCTCAGGAGAAAGCTGACGGCGGGCAGGATTCCAGGCCCCATGGCTCTGGCAGAGACTCCAGCAGCCAGGGACAGCAGCCCTGCATGTCCAGCATGGCGCCACTTGGGCTCTCCCCACTCAGCTGACCTTGGCCCAGGGCGAGGCCTGTGTGAGGCCCTGGGAAGCCACTGGCACCACCCCGATCCCCGCTGCGAGAAAGAATGGGCAGGTGGTGCTTAAGCCACCCAGGCTGAGATTCCACACGGGCTGTGGTTTGCCCACAAGAATGGGAGGAAGGAGAGGAGGGAGGGAGGGTGAGGGGCAGACACAATGGCGGCCAGACAGGCTGCTCTTGATAACGAGAGAAGCTCAGACGAAGGCCGGCGAAAACACTGCAGACCTCGGGGGCTGAAGGACAGCAGAACTGGAGCAGGAGCCGGGCAGAGCTGGGAGAAGCCAGCCTGTGGAGGGGTGCGGTTAGGAGAAAGGACCCAGACCAGCGGGGAGAGCCGGGAGGGTACAGGACCCCTGAGGGAGGGGAAGTCCAAGTTGAAAGCATGGCTGGGAGAGGGACGGGGAGCAGCGTCCCCTCCTTCAGGGAAGGGAGCCAATGACCTAACGCGATGAGGTCGGCTCACAAAGCTGGGGTGGTTTGGTGGAAAAGGAAACAGTCTGGAAGTGCCAGTGAGGAAGGACAAGGGCACCGAGCTCGTCCCCGTGCAGTGGAGGGAAAAGCAGTGCCTGCTGGGAGCGGGCCGGGAGGGCACTCCAGACAGGCAGGCAGGGAGGAGACCCAGCACCAACACGTGGGGACACAGCTGCCCTGCTGCTAGGCAGGCATGCATCGGGGAGGGAGCCCGGCAGCTGGGCGCCCCTGCCTCTGCCTGGGTCCTGCTCTTTCCCCTGCAGCCCTGGCCTTCCATCACCGATCCCAGTGAACACCCAGGACCAGCTCTGCGCCCAACTTGGCTCTCGGGGAGAGAAACCCAGGCTGGCCCAGCAGTGGTTTCTCGGTGGCTTTGGTCCTAGCTGCCTGAGTGCCCTTGGCAGGAGTTGGGGAGCATGCTGAGGACCCGGTGCAGGGCGTGGCTACGGGTCTCCTTTGTCAGGAGCCAGTGTTCGAGGGGGATGCTGAGGGCATGGCAAGAAGGCAGCGGCCACCTCCGGGTCAGAGGTTGGGAGGGGAGGTCACAGCTAGCCCCTGGCAGGCTGTACGGGGACACTGGCTGGGCGTCATGGCATGTGGCCACAGTGGCCCAATGTGAGGAGACCCCCCATGAGGCTGAGGACCCTCCCCTCAGGGAGCGACGGAGGAACCAGGGACTCGGCCGGTACCCACCTGCAGTCCTCCAAGCCGGAGAAATGGCGCCATGTGTGCACTCATGAGACAGAAACAGAGACAGACGCAGACGGGAGCTGCCCTGTGGCAAAGATGGTGGGAAGAGCACAGGCCTGGGGACCCTGGAGTGGGCTCCCTGTGGGGGCAGCAGGGAGCAGGGTCCCTTCCTCTCCACCACAGCAGGCCACGCTTCCCACTTCATGTGCCCTGGGCTCCTCCACCAGGACCCCGCCTGCTGCCCGGGACAGGAACCGTGGCAGATGGACGTGGTGCTCACTGAGTCAGACGCTGTCAGGTCAGCGGCTTTAAAAGTAGAATCTCCTTTGTCTTCCCAACAACCCTGGGTTAAATACAAAGTGAGCCCCTTGTACAAGCGAGGAAGCAGTTACAGGGAGGAAAGGAGACCGTCTGACCACCAGTGAGGGAAAGGTCAGCCCCAGCCCCCGGGCAGGGAGGAGGCTCAGGCCTGTGGTCCCGGCAGGCTGAGAGGCCCAGGCAGGAGGATCGCCTCAGGCTCGGAGTTTGAGACTGGCCTGGGCAACACAGGAGCCACCCCATCTCTACAAAAGAATATGGAAGGCCCCTCCTTCCATCCTGAACTCCCTGCCTGTCTGGAGACTGGGGGAGGCCCAGAGTCCGCCCAAATCCCTTCCCAAATCCGGGCCCAGGGGCTGGGGAGACTCAGGCGGGCAGCGCCCCTGGGATGACCCCCAGCAGGATGCTGCGGCCCCTGGGGGCGTTCTCGAGGTTTCCCGCCTCGGCGCAGCGCTCAGGCCCGGAGGGGACGCGGGGCACCATCCGGGCCACCTTCTGGGTTGCGGGGCGGTCTGAGCAGAGGGGTCGGCGCGGGCGAGCGGGGTTCCAGTGGACGCCCGCCCGGCCCCCGCGGCTCTCCCGGTCGGCGAGGGGCGTGGGCAGCCTGTCCGCCGGGAGGGCCCCCCGCTCCGGCCTCGCAGCCCCCCTCGGCGCGCGCCCCGGTGCAGGCGGCCGGGTGTGGGGGGCGCCGCAGGGGATAGGAGGGAGGGGAGGCTTCCGGACGCAAACCCCGGGGGGTCCCGGTGCTCGGGCAGGGGCGCACCTGCCACTCAGCCGACTCGCCGGCCAGAAAAGCCCCGCAGAGGTTCCCCGACCCCTCCCCGGCCAGAAGCTCGCGGTTCCCGCCGGCCCGGCCGCCCCTTCCACTTCCCTCGCCCCTGCGCCCCCTCCGCGCCCGGGGAACGCCACGCCCTCCCTCGGGGCTTTCCTGCTGAAGACCCCCCGCCCGCAGAAGCCTTTGGGACCACCCCGTGGAGAGGCTTTTCTCCACCAGCTCCGTTCTCAAACCGCGAGGCTGCGGGGTCCGCCTCGGCCTCCTTCCCGGGGGCCGCCCCGGCGCGAGCCCGGCTCTCCAGGGGGCTCTGGAGGCCTCCGGCCGCGGGGGACCCCGAGCGCAGAAGCCGCCAGCGCGCCCCGCCGCGGCATTCACCGTCAGAACAGTGACCGCCGGCGCCCGCGTCCGGCCCTTCGCAGTAACCGGCGCGAACGGCGCCCCTCGTTTCTCCGTGAGCCCGACTTCCTGCAGCTGAGCGCGCGGACGGGTGGCCTGGAAGCTCCTGGCGACACCGGCCCCATGACGTCATCCCACTGCCTCGCGCCACCGCCGCGGCCGCCCGTGACGTCACCAGCCTGCTCGCGTCCCGCCCGGCCCTGCGGGGTCCCCTGTGCGCCCCTTCCCCATGCGGTGACGCCGCCCTCTCCCCGCCCGTGCGTCCCAGGGGGACGCTTCCTGCAGCCCTAGGTGCCCAGGACGCGCGCTGCGGGAGGCGCCTCCGGAGGCCGGGCCGGTGTCGTGTCAAACTCGGAGACCCATTGGGGCCAAAACCGGCACCGGAGGGGGCGCGCGAGGGTCGGACGAAGGAAGAGGCGCCACTCCAGGCTCGCCCACCCCTCGGGGCCGCCCGACCCCGCGCCCGGGGCGAAAAGTCCTTCCCGGCTCCCCGCTCGGCCCCCGGGGCGGGAAAGTGAGCCCCAGACTCCGCGCAGCCAGGGGTCCCTGGTCCCCGTTGTCCCCCGGCGCGGTGCTCGGCCCCGGCTGCAGGGGAGGGGCGCGGATCGCCCGGCCTGGCCCCAGGGTCGGAGGAGGGCGCGAGGGGAGCCCCCCCCAGGCCTTTGTCGCCCGCGGCCGGGAGCCTAGGCGTGACTGACAGCGGCAGGGGAGGCAGCGGGCGCCGATTGGCCGGCGCGAGTGTGGGAAAGAACGCGGGGCCGGGTTCACACGCCCCGCGGCGGCTAGGCCTTAAATAGCGGCGCGAGCCGGCGCTGCGCGCGGGCCTAGAGCCGGGACCCGCCCGAGGGTTTCGGACCGCCGTCCGCCCGCTCTACCCGGCGCAGGGCGCACCATGCCCGCAGACACTCCGGGGAAGCCGAGCGCCTCTCCGCTGGCAGGAGCGCCGGCCAGCGCCAGCCGGGCCCCGGACAAGCCGCGGAGCGCGGCCGAGCACCGCAAGGTGGGGTCCGGGCCGGGCGCGAGGGGGGCGGCGGGGGCGGGGAGGGACGGAGGGACGCGGGATTCAGCCGGTGCCATCCGCAGTCCTCCAAGCCGGTCATGGAGAAGCGGCGCCGAGCGCGCATTAACGAGAGCCTCGCTCAGCTGAAAACCCTCATCCTGGACGCCCTCAGGAAAGAGGTAAGCCGGGGGCGACGGCCCGAGACCCGGAGTCTGGGGCGCAGCGGAGCCTGGACCTCCCGCCCCATTCCTGCCCCCAGAGCTCCCGCCACTCGAAGCTGGAGAAGGCGGACATCCTGGAGATGACTGTGAAACACCTGCGGAGCCTGCGGCGCGTGCAGGTCACAGGTGCGGAGCGGGTGGCGGCGGCTCCGAGGCGGGCGGTGGGGGTGCGCGGGACTCCCAGGCCCGGCCCCGACCGCTCCTCGCGTATCGCCCCCGTAGCCGCGCTCAGCGCCGACCCCGCCGTCCTGGGCAAGTACCGCGCCGGCTTCCACGAGTGTTTGGCGGAGGTGAGCCGCTTCCTGGCCGGCTGCGAGGGCGTCCCGGCCGACGTGCGCTCCCGCCTGCTCGGCCACCTGGCCGCCTGCCTGCGCCAGCTGGGGCCCTCCCGCCGCCCGGCCGCGCCGCCCCCGGCTGTCCCCGCCGCAGAGGCCCCGGCGCCCGAGGTCTGCGCGGGCCGCCCGCCGCTGCCGTCGCTCGGAGGTCCCTTCCCCCTGCTCGCGCCGCCGCTGCTGCCGGGTCTGACCCGGGCGCTGCCCTCCGCCCCCAGGGCGGGGCCGCAGGGCCTGTGCGGACCGTGGCGGCCGTGGCTGCGTTGACGCTGCAGCCCTGGGACCGCCCGGAGACCGCGCCCCGTTTTAGGGCCGGGGCCTCTTCTGAGACTGTACCGGAGAAAACGTATTTATTGCTCCAGAGGTCGCGTCACGATTTTCCTTTTTTCGCCTTTGCGAAGAGTCGGCTTCGATGGCGCCGGGGGTCCGGCCCTGCCCGGGAGGCCGAGGTCCGCAGGTGGCTGGGGGCGTCGGGCGGGCCCGGGGCGGGACCGAGGGCTGGCGGCGACCCCTGCGGCCCCTCCGCGCGGACGCCTTCTGCCTCCGCTCTGCGGTGCGGTCCCGGGGGGGTCCCCCGGAGGCCCAGGCGGGAAGGCGAGCGTCCCTGAGTGTCCGGAATGTGTCTCGACGCTGGAAGGCGGTCGCGCAGCATCGCCGGGCGTTATGTTTTCAGCGGTTCCTTTCCCGATTCCCAGTCCCCGGACCGGGAAGGCGGAGGCTGGGGTCCTGCGGTGACCTGAGCCCGAACCTTTGCCCTGAAGCCTCCCGCCGGGTTCTCCCGCTCGTGCGGAGCGGCCTGTGCCCGCCGCAGACCCCTCCCCCGGGCTCGGTGCCGGGGAGGGTTCGGGGCCGAGCTGGGGTGCGGACACCAGGTGCCCGGCCCGAGGACGTGGCTCCCGAGGGCGTCGGGGCTGCCCGCAGCCTCCCCTTCCGGGGGAAGGAGGCTCCACTCTCCAGGGGGTAAGGACTGGGGGCTCCTCACTGGCCCGGAGCACGTGCCGTTGGCGACCACCGAGTTACCAGGCAGCGCTGGGCGTCCCCCTGAACCACCACCGCCATCCCGGGTCCTGTGCTCCCCGGGGGCCGAGGCAGAGGATCTCAGTTCCCCGGAGCCCACGACAGGCGAGGGAGCGTCCCACCAGCACGGGGCCTCGAAGGCTCCAGTCGTGCTTCCAGCAGGAGCCCCCTGTACCCTCCAGGACACAGCCCCGGGGCACACCTCGCAGGAGCCTCCCTGGCCACCCTGCTCCCCTCTCTGAGCTCCCAAGGACCGGCCAGTGACCCTGAGCCGGCGTAGCATTGGGCTGGGAGCTGCACCCTTGGTCCCACCAGCAGTCCTGCCCCGGGAGTCCCGGTCCCAGGGGAGCCTCAAAGTAGCCCTTCTCCTTGGGAGTCTGGGTAGCAGCTCTGTGAGGGAGGCCGCCTCAGCGGGCTGAGGGAGGGGAGCTGCTCAGAGCGGGCGTCAGTGCAGAAGGGGAGGGAGGACCTGGGAGGTGGAGCTGGGAGTGGGAAGGGAGGCCGGGGCAGGAGGGGCACCCTGCAAAGTCACCCAGGCTGTGGGTCCTAAGAGGCAGGACAGCTGTTCACGAGACCCCAGCCTTGAATGCCCTCCACCTCCACTGTGGCTAAACAGTCTGTAGCTCTCCAGCGGCCACGCAGGTTCTGGGGGAATCACAGCCTTGGGCAAGCCCGCAGCAGTCTGGGTCCCTCTGTACTCAGCACCCATCCCCCAGCTTTCCCTGCCTTTCCTCCTAACTGTGATTTATCCCAACTGCCGTAGGCTCAGGGTCTCTCATATCATCTGGGCCTGGCTGGATGGGGCTCCAGAGGGCGAGAGCCAGTCTGTCCTGACGCTCTGTCCTCGGCACCTGCCCAAAACGAGGAAATGAACCCACAGGGACTTAATCCGACCATTTGAATGACAGAGCTGGGAGGATTGGGCTACACCAGGGAGGTCTCGGGAAGCACAGCCAGGCTGGCTGGGCAGCATGGGCCCCCCCTAGGCTTCCCATTTCTCAGAGCCCCACCCCCCCCCCCCCCCCCCGCCCCCCTGCCGGCCTCCAGGAGCCAGCTTCTGCCCACACCCAGCAGGGACGCCTGCCAGAACCTGCTTCCTGGGGCCCCAGCTGTGGGCTGCCCCCTCTCACTTGGGGTCCTTCCTGCCTTCCCCACCTTCCAGACATTTCCTGCCCCTCCCCGCCTCAGATGGAGGCCGCTGTGCAGCTGGGCTGTGGGCCAGTCCCCCGTCCCAGCGATTTTTACCTTGGCTTTGTCTTCCTGATGAGTAATAGATGACCATCACCTTCTGAATGGGGGAGTGTGGCTGACGGTCACTGGTCACTTGCAGGTCATCTCCTGATGCCTCCCTGGTGAGGACCAAGGGTCAATAAATGTTTGCTGAGCTCCTTCGCTCTGTGGTGTCTGGGCTTGTCATGGGGAACTGGGCAACACAACAGCAGACCATGGGCTTTCAAAACCTGGAGAACAATCAGTCCCATGGTGAGAGATGGCCAGGCCGGGCCTATTAACTCCAAGTGCGGAAATTAGGGATGGGGGTGGGGCTGGGGCTGCCTGGAGCCTTGGCTTGTGAGAGGTGAGGCCGAAGCTCCCCCCACCCAGGCCCCTCTGCTCGCCTGAGTCCCAACAACCCCGCCAGGCCCCTCTGCTCCCCTGGGTCCCAGCACCCCCCCCAGGCCCCTCTGCTCACCTGGGTCACAGCCACTCACAGGTGCTCACCTGGGTCTCAGGCCCCTCTGCTCACCTGGATCCCAGCCCCCCCCACTAGGCCCCTGTGTTCACCTGGGTGCCAGCCCCACCCAGGCCCCTGTGCTCACCTGGGCCCCAGCACCCTCCAGGTGCTCACCTGGGTCCCAGCACACCCCCAGGCCCCTGTGCTCACCTGGGTCCCAATACCCCCCTAGGCCCCTGTGCTCACCTGGGTCCCAGCCCCTCCCAGGTGCTTACCTGGGTCTCAGCCCCCACCCCCACCCCTGTGTTCACCTGGGTCCCTGCCCCTGCCAGGTGCTCACCTGGGTCCCAGCCCCCCCCCCCGGTGCTTCCCTGGGCCCCGGCCCCCCCCCGGCCCCTGTGCTCACCTGGGTCCCAGCCCCTGCCAGGTGCTCACCTGGGTCCCAGCCCTCCCCAGGTGCTCACCTGTGTCTCAGCCCCCCTCAGGCTCCTGTGCTCACCTGGGTCCCAGCCACCTCTCCTCTGGCTCCCCTGGCTCCAGGACTGTCTCGTCACCCAGGCCTGGCTGCTGCCCCACTGTGCCTCGGAGCCCCAGGACTATACCCAGCTAGGATTCAGCCAGGGCTGAAGGCCCCTGAGGCCCGGGGTGGCAACCTCCCCAATGGCCCATGGGTCCCTCATGGCATTCACATCTCAGTGTCCTGAGAGTGTCCTGTGGGGTAAGTAGGATCCTGCTGAGGTGACAGGCTCAGAGTGAGACCCTGTCTCAGAGAAAAAAAAAAAATCAGTTGACAGTGAAGGTGAAGGCTTATTTTTCTGGACTCTCAATTATATTCCATTAATCAATATGTCTACCCTTGTTCTATCATCAATCACACCGTTCTCTAGGTTACTGCAGCTGCGTCGTAAGGCTTTTGTTGTTGCTGTTTAGTTGGGTTTTGTTTTCTTTGAGACAGAGTCTCTGTCATCCAGGCTGCAGTGCAGTGGTATTATCTTGGCTCACGGCAACCTCCACCTCCTGGGTCAGCCTCCTGGGCAGCGGGGAACGACAGGTGCCTGCCAGCACGCCCAGCTCGTTTTTGCATTTTCAGTGGAGAAGGGGTTTTGCCATGCTGGCCAGGCTCAGGAATTTCTTTTCTTTTCTTTTCTTTTTTCTTTTGTGACGGGGTCTCACTCTATCTCCCAGGCTGGAGTGCAGTGGCATGATCTCGGCTCACTGCAACCTTCGCCTCCCGGGTTCAAGCGATTCTCCTGCCCCAGCCTCCCAAGTAGCTGGGATGACAGGCACCCACCACCACGCCCAGCTCATTTTTGTATTTTTAGTAGAGACGGGGTTTCACTCTGCTGGCCAGGCTGGTCTTGAACTCCTGACCTCAAGTGATCCTCCCACCTCAGCCTCCCAAAGTGCTAGGATTATAGGCGTGAGCCGCCACCGCGGCCCCGTGGCAGGCATTTCTTTATAACAATGCGAGAACAGATTCTCAGCCTGTGAGTTCAGGACGGGGCCTGTAGACGGGAGGCAGTGGGGAGAGGAAGGTGGTGGCATCTGAGCTGTTGGGCTCCTTCTGACCTGGACAGAGCACTGGACTTTTCTGTTGTTCTATTTTTATTTTATTTCTGAGACGGAGTCTTGCTCTGTTGCCCAGGCCAGACTGCAGCAGTGTGATGGTGCAATTGTTTGTTTGTTTGTTTTTTTGGGATAGAGTTTCACTCATGTGACCCAGGCTGGAGTGCAATGGCGTGATCTCGGCTCACCGCAACCTCCATCTCCCGGGTTCAGGCAATTCTCCTGCCTCAGCCTCCTGAGTAGCTGGGATTACAGGCACGCATCACCATGCCCAGCTGAATTTTTGTATTTTTAGTAGAGACGGGGTTTCACCATGTTGACCAGGATGGTCTCGATCTCTTGACCTCGTGATCCACCCGCCTCGGACTCCCAAAATGCTGGGACCACAGGCTTGAGCCACCGCGGCCGGCCAATGGTGCAATTGTTAAGGATGATTCTTTTCTCCATTGAATTGTCTTGGCACCATGTTGAAAACCAGTTGACCGTAGGCCGGGCCCGGTGGCTTACGCCTGTAATCCCAGCACTTTGGGAGGCCAAGGTGGGCGGATTACCTGAGGTTGAGAGTTTGAGACCAGCCTGGCCGGGCCGACATGGAGAAACCCCATCTTTACCAAAAATATAGAATTAGCTGGGTGTGGTGGCTCATGCCTGTAATTCCAGCTACTCTGGAGGCTGAGGCAGGAGAATCGCTTGAGCCTGGGAGGCAGAAGTTGCGGTGAGCCGAGATCACATCATTGCACTCCAGCCTGGGCACCAAGAGCAAAACTCAGAGAGAGAGAGAGAGAGAGAGAGAGAGAGAGAGAGAGAGAGAGAAAAGAAAGGAGGGAGAGAGGGAGGGAGGGAAGGAAGGAAAGAAAGGGAAAATAAAACAGGAAGCTCCATTAACAGGTCCCAGGAAGCTGGTTTGCTGGGGGAAGGGGTGAGAGCGGCACTGTGGGGCGGGGGGAGCTGGAGGATCCACCGCACAGGCTGCCAGCCTTTGGCCGGACTTCTGACCAAACCTGGGGCTGAACGTTATCAAGCAGGTTGCAGGCAGAAGGTCATCACCTGCTTCACAGAAATCCTTGGGGCAAATGCCGTCCCCAGACAGGAGCAGAGATGAAAGCATGAGGCGTCCCAGCTGATGTCCCATCGAGATTGTCCCCCTTCCTGACACCCAGGCAAGGGACCCTCCCCAGTCCCCAGATGGACAGAAAGATCCTAGAGTGTTACAGATGATGGAATTCATGGACAGGGACATTGTAACTGTGGTGCATCTATCCCAGGTGCTGCTGTGCGTGCCACAGTCCCAGCTGCCAAGATGCCAAGGCCAGCCTGGGCAACAACGTGAGATCTGATCTCTAAAGAAAATCAAAAACAAATTAGAAAAAGCAGAAGTGGAAATTTCATCGAAGATGTTAGGGACATTGAAGGTGTTCAAAAACCCAGTGGAGAAGGAACTTCTAGAGATGAGAATGTCAAGGTCTGATTTGAGAGACGCGTTGGGTGGCAGCACTGACAGTTTAGACGTGGGGAAGGAAAACAGTAGCAAACTCGAAACTGTAACAATAAAAACTCTTTAACGTAAAACAGATTTTGGAAAACAGAAACATAGAATAGTGAGCTGCGAGACACCTTTGCGTGGCCTGATATCCACGTAATCGGAGTCCGTGGCAGCAGAGAGGAAGAAGGTTAAATGGTTGAAGAAATAATGACACGTTTTTCCAAGCTTGACGGGAACCGTAACCCCGCAGGTGCCAGGGGCTGGGCAGCACCCATGCAGGACTCCCGGGAACTGCGTAGCCACAGCGATGCAATACCCCACGAAGCCACAGTGCCACGTACTTTTCACGTTCTAGGACGTTCTGGCCGGAGGAATTAGGAAAGAAAACGAAACGCAGGCATGTAGGACTGGGCCCAGCGGCTCACACCTGTGATCCCAGCACTTTGGGAGGCCAAGGTGGGAGGATCGCTTGAGCCCAAGAGTTCAAGGCAACCCTGAGCAACATAGTGAGACCCTGTCTCTACCAAAAAAAAGGAAAAATGCAAACACTAGCCAGGCATTGTGGTGTGCACCTGCAGTCCCGGTTACTCTGGAGACGGGGGCGGGGCGATTGCTTGGTCCAGGAGGCGGAGATCGTACCACTGCCCTCCAGCCTGGGTGACAGTGATTAAAACAAAGGAAGACGGGAAACTCCTTTCAGATGACACGATCTCTTACACAAAACCCTAAGGAAGCCATTTACAAAACTCTCAGAGCTAATAGAACAAGGGTTAGCGTTCTTGACAAGATCAATATTTCAAAAATCAATTGTATTTCTTCACACTGGCAATGAACAATGTAAAAATGAATTTTTTTTGAGACGGCGTCTCAGGAGTGCAGTGGTGCAATCTCGGCTCACTGCAGCCTCCGTGTCCTGGGTTCGAGCGATCCTCCGGCCTCAGCCTCCGCCTCCTGGGTAGCTGGATGACAGGCACGCACCACGACACCCGGCTCGTTTTTGTATTTTTAGTAGAGACGAGGTTTCACCATGTTGGCCAGGCTGGTCTCAAACTCCTGACCTCAAGAGACCTCCCGCTTTGGCCTCCCAAAGTGCTGGGATTACAGGCGTGAGCCACTGTGCCTGGCCTGTAGTCAACTGATTTTCAACATGGGTGGCAAGACAGTTCAACGGAGGAAAGAATTGTCTTTTACAAACGGTGCTGGGACACCTGAACATCCACGTGTGTGTGCAGGAAGCTGCACACCTATTCACATCACACACATCGTGAACTCAAAATGGATGACAGGCCGAGGCCAGCGAATCACTTGAGGTCAGAAGTTCGAGACCAGCCTGGCCAACATGGTGAAACCCCAACTCTATTTAAAAGTACAGAAATTAGCCGAGTGTAGTAGTGGGTGCTTGTAGTCTCAGCTACTCAGGAGGCTGAGGCAGAGAATCACTTGAACCCGGGACGCAGAGGTTGCAGTGAGCCAAGATCGTGCCACTGCACTCCAGCCTGGGTGACAGAGCAAGACTTAATCTAAAAAAAAAAAAAAAAAAAAAAAAAAAGGAACCAGAAAGAAAAAAAAAAAGAAAAGACAAACCACAGGCTTCGAGAAAATAAATCACATATCTGATAAAAGACTTACGTGCAGAATATATAAAGAATTCTGGGCCAGGCACGGTGGCTCACACCTGTAATCCCAGCACTTTGGGAGGCCAAGGTGTGCGGATTACCTGAGGTCAGGAGTTCGGGACCACTCTGGCTAACGTGGTGAAACCCCTTTTCTACTAAAAATACAAAAAATTAGCCAGGCATGGTGGTGTGTGCCTGTAATCCCAGCTACTCGGGAGGCTGAGGCAGGAGAATTGCTAGACTCCAGGAGGCGGAGTTGCGGTGAGCCCTGATCACACCACTGCGCTCCAGCCTGGGTGACAAAACGAGACTCTGTCTCAAAAAAAAAAAAAGAAAAAGAAAAAAGGCAAACCACAGGCTGAGAGAAAATGAGCGAAGCTTGGGCATCTCAAAAAAAAGAAAAAATAATTCAGAAAACTCAAAAATAAGAAAACAGCCTAATTTTTCTTTTTTTCTTCCTTTTTTTTTTGAATTCTTTTCTTGCACACAGAAAATGATTTGGTTCCAATGCATTAATTTTTATTTTTATGTTTAATTTAATTTTTTGTAGAGACAGGGTTTTGCCATGTTGCCCTGATACATCTCAAACCTCTGGCCTTGAGCAATCCGCCTGCCTCAGCCTCCCAAAGTGCTGGAATTACAGGCATGAGCCACCTCACCAGGCCACACCCTAATTTGTAAGGTGGACAGGATAGGCTAAGCGTGGTGGCTCATGCCTGTAATCCCAGGATTTGGGGAGGCTGAAGCCGGCAGATCACTTGAGGTTAGGCGTTCAAGATCAGCCTGGCCAACGTGGTAAAACCCTGTCCCTACTAAAAATACAAAAATTAGCCGGGTGTGGGGTCAGGCATCCGCACTCACAGCTACTGAGGAGGCTGAGGCAGGAGAACTGCTTGAACCCAGAGGAGGGAGGCGGCAGTCAGCCGGGACCTCACCACTTCGCTCCAGCCTGGGCTACAGGGCAAGACTCCATCTCAAATAAGATGAAATAAAATTGACAACATATTTGATCAGTCTTTTCACCAAAGAAGATACACGGACAACACGTGCGCACACGAGAAGATGCCCAGTGTTACTCCAGCGGGGAAATGCACGTCGAAGCCAC